AAGGGCAGCGTGGCAAAGCTACCACAGCGGTAGTTTTCGGTGGGCAAGGCACCGAAGCGGTGTCTTTTGGAGGAGCTTATCTGTCCGCCAGGCAGGTCGTACCGGTAGCCTGATGAGAGATGGGCTTATCCATCACCTGCACGGGAGAGGCTCGGGAAGCTGAAATGAGTTGCTTGCCTTCGTCCCGGGATCCTGGGGCGCGCCTGGGAACCGAGTCCCTCTGGCTGGGTGCTGGTCCGGCATCTCGGGAGCAATGGGGTGCAGAGCAGGTTTTAGTCGCTCCGGAGAGCGCGTTGCTGGCGAGGTGTGCGGCCATTGCACCCCAGTACCGCCCCTCGCTTTCTGGGTGCTAACTTCGCTTTTTACATCTTTTGCATCCAGAATAGTGTCTCGCTGCAGTTCTGCTGAAAACCAACTTTGGCTGAAGCTCTGGTTTTGCCCTCTTTCCTTGAGCTTACTTTTTAGAAGTCGAGTACAATTCAGCAATCAAAGGTTAAAAGCAGTATTAATCACAAAGCTAGTATACCCTCCCTGAGTACATAATTACTATCTAGAGAGCTGTGTGCTCAAAGACTCTGAGGGTAGCTAGGAAACAAATGCTCTCAGGATTATAGTTGTGGTAATTTAGGACTGCTGCTTCTGGTTTTGATGTCTCATTATTTATAGACTGATCCCCAAGATTCAGTCTCGCGTACGTTCTCTGGAGAATGTCCCGTATGCTTTCACGCAGTGGAGCGAGATGGGTAATGTGCTTTCTATGAGCAAATGGAATGGCACTTAGTAGGATTGTCTGCAACTGTGGGAGGGGAGGAGAGGGGAGGGAGCGGGCAAAAGCTATAAATGGATTTAAACAAATGCTGTAACTTGAAATTTACCCTAATTTTAAAGCTAAGTGAAAACCACGTCTGGTTCCTCCTACCCTTACAATTTCTTGCTGACTCCTGTAATTTGATGATTTATTCTGAAATCTGTTTTGAAATCTCTCTTCCTTTCCAACAAATGAGACATAGAAGCTGGCACGTTCATCAGTTCTGTCAAATGCACATGCAAAAATATCCTTCTCTGACACCTGAGGTTTTTGCTAACAAACGAGTAAAGGGGAAAACATCTGCTGGTTAAAAGTTAAGACCAGAAGTCTGCTTATGGACACTGGAATCGGTATCTTAATTTTCTAAAGTATTAACCACTCAGTGGCCGTATACTAAAGCAAACATTCTCTCATTTGATGAGAAACTGGAACTCTTTTACGCTTATCCCTGTAAGACGATGCGTGGGGGTTTGCTGTAAACAAGGTTAGCAGGGGCTGTTACCTGTGTCTTGGCTCAAAGCCTCCTGCTGTGTGCATGGTCCTGCCCACCAGCTCTTGAAGCTTGGTTTTCTTGCCCGGTTGGCATGCGAGCTGGAGCCAGGATTCCCAGCTTGTGGTCTGTGCCGCCTGGCCAGTGGGTTACAGGCAGCATTATTGAACTGGGAAGCTCCCCAGCTGTAACAGAGTGCTGCTGCCTGTGACCAGCAGTGGGTGGTGGGACAGGTCATGCTGTGGCCAGGGAGCGTGCGTCTAATGGGTCCCCTTTACGTGCCTGGTCCCCCCGTGCCTCTCCCCAGCGTGTGAGGCAGGGCACCAGACATCCCCAGGGTGCAAAGCTGGCCCTGTGCCTGAGTGTGCTGGAACCACGGGTTCAAACCCACATCTATTACCACGTGCCTTGCAGAGCCTCTTGATGCTGTCCTGTCTCCCTAGATCTGTGCAGGGAGGCCTTTCAGCTGCAGCCCTTCCCAGTTCATTTATGGTGGAAACAGTATGTAGCTGATGCCCAAGCAGAGGCTCGTTTTCAGTGTCTCAGATTTTTTAAAAGGACCAGAAATTGATACCTTTTTTTGTTTAAAACTTATTTCAATCAATGCTGTAGATGTTGAAAAAGACAAAAAGGAAATTAATATTTAATTGGGAAGTAATTTCACTTTTGACAAAAACAAATATACTGAAACCCAAGTTTTGGCCAGCTTCTGACATGCATGTTACAGTAAAATCCGGAATGGATACAGAAATGGATTTGAGGTCTGATATTGTTCTTTGCATTTTCAGTCACTTGTCTACATCTCCCATGTTTGGGATTGATGTTTTCAAGAACTATTTATTGTTATTTCTGAAAGTAATTATGTGAGGATTCATCTTTTGAAATATAACACAGCTCATTCAGCCTCTTTAACCATTAAAACATAAAAGCATTTTTCTAACTTTAACTGAAAGATGTTAACACTTACACTGAATCTTGAGGAAGTCATCTTGACTTTGAATTCTAGTGACTTAAGGGATGATCTACGCAGGGTGGATGATACACTAGCAAAAAAGGCTCTAATGTAAATAGCCTCCAACTGCAATTAAAAGGCATCTACATTTATAAGATTCCTGAAAAGCCTGTAAATAATCCAGTTTGTTCTTACATTTAGATGACTTTAAGCCTGCATCTATTGATATGTCCTGTGAAGGAGACCTTGAAGTTGGCAAAGGTGAACAGGTGACAATAACACTGCCAAATATTGAGGTGAGTGGGGTGCCTGAATAGTGGCGGGCCTAAGGGAATGATTTATTTTGTTGTCATAATTATATACGGAATATAGAAGGATATGAAGTTTCAGTGCTGTTTCAGTGCTGCTTGTGTGGTTTTTAGAGCAGAAAAACAATTGATCTAAGAATGTAAAGTTGCAAAAGACCTAAAGATTAAACAGCTGCACTGTAACTTTTAAGTGTATTCACCGCATAGGAAATATGCTGTAGGATGACCCAGAAGTGTTGCGTACACAGAAAAGTTTCATGTCAGTGTTGGCAGTGCAAGTTACCCCTTGGTATTTACTGCTCTAGTGTAGTTCTAAAGCAGGAAAGACTGGAAAAGGAAAATTTACTACCTGCCATGCTTTACTGCTCTGCTGATATGGTAACTGAAACCCTTTTTGGTAAAAGGAATCCTGCAATGAGCATGCTGTCATTGGGAAATAAGCATTTAAACAGTTCCAAACTAAGCTAAGCTGGGCGAAGTCCCATTCCAGTCAGTCACCAGCTGCTTTTGGTCATGGCTACTGTGAATCTAATTTGAATTAACCAATAACATTTTTAAAGGCTAGAAATGATCACTTATAGTGAACTTGTCACCACTGTGATGGACTGCTGTTTCTAAGGAAAAAAAGAAAAAAAGACTACAGTAGTAACACTTACTGGCCTTCTGATTTAATAGGGCTCAACTCCACCAGTGACTGTGTTCAAGGGCTCAAAGAAGCCTTACCTAAAAGAATGTATCTTAATTATCAACCATGACACTGGAGAATGTCGCCTAGAGAAACTTAGTAGCAACATCACTGTGAAAAAAACCAGGTGGGTGAGTTACAGGAGAAACAACTGTGCTTTACTCATTGTGAAAATCGATTTGTTAATGAGGCTAAACTGAGATACATAACTACCCGTTACTATTTTTAGCAAAACACCATTTTTAGAAAGTACCTGGCCTTGTTCAGTAGAGTGAGAAGCCTGCTTTCTCAGCACACTGACTTCACAGCTTTCCAGTCTTGACTGGCAGTAGAAATGGGAAATTTTTTTTTTTTTTTAACTAAAAACTGTCACATTGTTGAAAGAGATGGTAACTATTTCCTGATGAGTTTAGAGGGGTGGGGGGAAATCTGTTTGGGGAGTAGCTTGCCTACTGTCTTCTGATTTCTAAATAAGAAAATAAAAAAAGATAAGTTCCGCGACATGTTTCAGTAATATTAACGGCTTTTTTTTTTCTTCAATTTTTTTTTTTTTTTTTTTTTTTTTTTTCCCTGCGGCTGAGTCCATAGAATTAATTTCCAGCAGAATTGTTATTAAGTGTTCCTGGGTAGTCAGGTATAAAAACAAATCGACTGGCAAAGGGTTAAAAAGTTATTGGCACTGTATTAAAAAAGTTTTAAATACATCTATATATGCCGGTATAGTAACATACCTAGAAATCTAATGATGCTATTTAGAAAGGCATGCCTTTTTTCTTGCACCTTGTCTGCTAGAGTAATTAAAAATCTTTTGCTTTTACACACAGAGCTGAAGGAAGCAGTAAAGTCCAGTCTCGCATAGAGCAGCAACAGCAGCAAATGCGAAATGTAACTAAAGTTCCAAACAATGTTAAAAATTCTCCACCAAAAGAAAAGATGTCTCCATCTTCTCCTATGGATGATATTGAACGAGGTAAGCTCCACCTTTACATCAGTTTGGGAAACTTTGCTCTTCACTAGCAGCTAGTTTTTTAAGAGCCAAGGTTTTTTGTTTGTGTGGTTCTTGTTGGTTTTTTTTTTTTTTTGGTTTGAGCTTCACACTAGAAGCTGATTACCCTCATATGGAAATGACCACTCTAGCTCAAGCAGGAACAAAGAAGTATTAGAAACTTGCTAAGGTAAAAAAAAATCAGATGAGCCATTAAGGTTAATAATACCAAAGGTTTCACTGCTCTCTCTCCTCGTTTCTGTCTTCCACTGCTACTTTAATCAACTGGATTGTACTGGAACCAACTTCCATTTTGACATCATTCCTCATTCTTTCTCTGTGCTCAGCAAACGTATAGGTTACAGTGCTTTACAATTCAAAATACATTTCAAATTACTGGATAAGACCTGTGAAAGATGAGGTTCCAATGAAAAAGACTGCTAAAAACCTGTATAAATCAACCCTTGAACAGTGCTATGTACTGTATTTTTGAGATACTGTGGTTTGGTGCGACACTCGTATTTCACTTAATAGGAGGCCTTATTTCCTTTTGGAGGACAAGAAAGATGGCAGGTGGTAATTACTTGCTACAGAAATGCTGGCAGGTGGCAGTTTCATTGACTGGAATTGACATCTGCCTCCCAAGATGTTCTGAATTCCTTTAAACAGATTTTTTTGTTGTTGTTTTTTAGATGTGTCATTATGAAGGGTGGTGGTGGGGTTTTTTTTCCACTTTGGTTTTAAACTCTGACCAGAAATCTGTACTACAGAACAGTATTAGAATACATCTAAGGTTGCAAAGAGGAAGAAGTACTTGAGTGCATGGAATAAAATGATGCTTTTTCTTGGTGGTCTGTTTTGAGGGGAGTGGTGGTGTCGTCGTCAAAGTGGCTGCCAACGTGTATCAGACTCTTGTGTATTGCCAGTCCAATTCTGACTACTACTAAAGAATGTGGAATAGTTGACAAATAGGGATGGTAGGGACCTTTTAAACCCATTTAGTCCATCCTTCTGTCCTAAGGTCGGATTTCTGACATAATTTTTTAACCTGTTCTTAAAGCCTTCCAGTGACAGATCCTGTGTTCTCTCTGGCAATCCATTCCAGGGCTTTGCTCTCCTTACTGTTCAGGTTCTTCCTAATAAATAATCTGACAGTAAGCCCATGACTACTTTCATATTCATCATGCAAGTATAGGCCAGATTACTCTGCTGCTCTTGAGCAGCCCTTCAGGTACTCAGAAGCTGCTATTTCTTCCCATTCTTTATGCAAAATGATGTCAGCTGGTTCAGTCTTTCCTTAGAAGTTAAATTTTCTAGATCTCTGATTCGTTGTCACTTTCCTTTAGGTATCTTACAACTCCAAAAACTTCCTGAAGTATACTGCCTAAATACTGTTTCAGCTAAGGTTGTAGCAGTGCTGAGTTGAGCAAGATGAATTCTCTTACAGGCACTATTCATCTTTATACGCAAAGACCAAATAGTATCACATCCCATTGTAATGCTTTTCACTGCTATACAACAGCATGGTGCAGTAGAACTGTATGTAGTGATCCACTGTATCTTGCAGACTCTTCAGAATTGTTGTCTACTTAATCATTTGTCCTCCCATCATTGTGTAACTGACTATTCCTGCTTAAGTACACTACCTTGAACTTTTTACTAACTTTGTTTTCTTGGGCGGGGGAAAGATAACTCTATCTTTGTTCTCTTCTTGATCATTCCGCTAGCTGCATCCTAATTTTTGCCTCAGCTTTTCTGTGGTCTTTTCTGTCCTTAAGCTGTTCTCTTACACATGTCCTTAGTAACAAGAGGTATTCTCCCTTCTTCTCTTGGTTAAGCTCTGAGCCATCTTGCATCTTGGTGACTTTCATCTTCAGCCTGTTCTATATTGGGTAAATTTGAAGTGAAATGAGCTGCTCTCCTACTTGCTTTTTATGTCTGCTATATCAAAGCTGTTCCTGAGGGTCTTACAAGTGCTTGTAAGACCATCTTAACAAATGTTTGGGTAGTTACAGTCTTGTATAATGATGAACTTCTGCACTCTGGGTAACTCCTCAAGTAGCTGTATAAAAATCTCCATCCACCATGATTCAGTGGTCTGTTTCAGACTTCTTGCTTCAGCAGCACCCCTATTTTGCACAATTATTACGTGTACCCTTTCTGCAAAACTTAACTTCCTCTGTATGTTGGATTTCAGCTGGTATATATCAAAAATGCTATTGTACAGCATGATCTATCCAGTCATACTCTCCCAAATATCATTGTAGTCAAGTGAGTTATTTCATCAAGGATATAAGTTGGTTGAGTCAGTTTGATCTGTTAATTTCCAGTATTTCTTGTCTACCTCGTGTTGTTCTCACTCTTTTTCCCCACTCCCAGAGCTATAAGGAGAACAAGGATTTGGTGAAATCTTCATAATAGTAAACTGTGGATGGTTCCTTTGGATATACTTCGTGCTTAACCTGGTTTTGAGCAAAATGTCGCATAGTCTTAACAAGTGTATTGGTTGTAATGCTGAACTGCTGGGAGTCATTTTGGGTGCAGCTGCAGACATCTTACAGCTTAGTAATGTGTGTGATTTGTAACTGCAGTTTTTAGTTGGTGAAAGGCATCTTCGGGGTGCTAAGGAAAATACAGAAGACTTGCTAGTTGCAGAAATTTAAAGTCTTATGTGGGATGCACTACCCTGTGGAATGTGGGGTTAGCATTTGGGTTCACAGTCACACTTGTTCTAACGCTTGGCTTGAAAGTGAGAAAGTGCCCAAGCTACAAGAGAAGAAAACCATATGACAGGCTGGATGCTTGCTTGTGCCATTTTCTTTGTTCTGGAGAGTTTTGGTGGGTTTGTTTTGGTTTTTTTTAGTCACTATAATGCGTGTACCTGATTTCTGTTGTTGATTTTTATTTTTTATTTTTTCCCCCTCCTTCTTACATTTCAATTATGACAAATGTTAACTAAGAAACAAATCATATTGTTTGCAGAGCTAAAAGCAGAAGCCAGTATCATGGACCAGCTGAGTAGCTCTGACAGTTCATCTGACTCGAAAAGTTCTTCATCCTCTTCATCAAGTAGTGAAAATAGTTCTAGTGATTCTGAAGATGAGGAAACCAAGCCCTCTCTTCCTATATCAATGCCGTATTTGCAGCCACAGCCTACTGTGTCTGCCATGCCACAACAGGCTGTCCCTGACAAAGATGCCAGTCATAACCGATCCCAAGAGAGCAGTGGTCATATGATGAATACACTACGTAAGTACAAAGGCTGTTCTTTTCTTAGTGCACAATTCCAGACATCAAGATTCTGAAAGGAAACCATATTGTTTTTAAGTATGTCTCTGTTATAATTAAAACTGTGGGAAGTGATGCTAGGGTTTGATTGTTCAGCAGCGGTCTGAATTAGACACTGGGCTAGAAGGTTCTTGGTCCCCAGAGATATTGAATTAAGGCTGATGCAGTTGAAAATATTTCCTGAGCTCTTCTGGCTTCCTCCCAGTTATATACATTGGGACTGGAGAACAGTAATTTCGTATTGAAAATACTTGAACTAACAGGGCACTTGCAAAACATATGCTTATAATTTCTTGGGTAGAACTATGGGAAAGATACTGTACTGGCAACACTCTGGATTACAGAGGAGATGGTGTATTCTTAGCTACTTCAGTTACTATTATTCATGGCACCATTCCACAGGACAGCATGGCAAAACTGTCCTTTGCATATAAGGAAGGAGGCGATCTGCTTTCAGGTGATACCATCTTATTCCACCCATTCAGGCAACTAAAAATGTAATTTGAAGTGTAGCTGTGATGTTCTCCAAGAATTGGGTGCTGTGCAGCCTGGAACTGAATGCTCAGTGTATTCAAAAAAAGGAGAGTTTGGATAGAAAAAAGCTCCCACTAGGTAGAGAATCTTAAGTTTGCTGCCTACTCAAATAGCAGGAGTATTCATATGTAGAAGTGAGTATTTAGCTGTGGTGACTCTTTGACAATTATTACATTTTTAATTAGGTGCTTAGTTGCTGGCTCCTAGTCTGAAGAAATTCCCACCAACCGTGGTTGATCTTTAAGGTTTATCATTTATATGTAAACTTGTTATACTGAAATTTTAGACTCTGGCAGATCTGCTTTTATTTCAGTACTTAATGGATAACATGAATGTGCTGGGGTTTTTTGTAGCCAGTATTTAAATACTTAATTAAATATCTGTGCTGGTGATTTATGTACTGCATTAACAGATAAGATCAGACTGAAAAAGTCCTGTGACTGTGTGCAAAGGACTAAATGCTGCTGACATTTTACTGTCACCGTAGAAAACAATGTCTTCATGTTTATAACATCTGTAGCTTTAGAGTGTGCCATTTATTTCAACACTTATTCACAAGTGGGATTTCCTGTTCTTCACACTTTAAATACAACTGTTATGAAAACGAGATTAAGCTCTATCCCCAGTGACAGGATCCCAGCTGGCAAAGCTTCCAATGAGAAGTACACTTACTAGTACAGGTGGCCAAGTCCAACAGTCATAGTGAGAAAACACTGCTTAAAACATGACAACATCAAAACTATTACAGGGGAAGTTGGTGGCTTGATGGTTCTCGAGAACCACATTGACAGATAGAACCTCTGTCTGTAGCATCAAGCCTTGGGCTTGACTTATCTGAGCTTGCCTAGATATTTAGCTTAATCCCATTTACTTCTGTTATGGTTACAGATCTATTTACTGCTTAAAATGATTCTGTCCCCAACTTCCAGTACAGTTAACACTTAAAATACGCTTTAACTAGAGAAAGATCAGAAAAGTTACTTTCAAGGAGAATGTGTTTCTCTAGCTCCCTTGCTGAGGGAATTTGGCAGGAGAGTGAAACCTGGAGAAACTAAATGGATAGCACATGGTTCTAGCTTGAATGGCAAGAATTCTCAGTCAGGGTCCTGCACAGTCATTTCTTCCACCTCAAATAATGTTCTACAAAAATAAAATAGTGAATTAAAAAATGTCAGCACAGGCTATTTGCTTGTCTAATCCTGTTTTGAGGTTTGACCACTTATGTGTGTGACTAGTTTTGTGCACCTCTGTAAAATCAGGGCCATGCTGGGTAGTTAATTAGTGAAGTTTTCTTTTGGCTTGCTGTGTGCAGGCACAAGGCTGCGGGAAGACTTAGAGAACAGAGTTTCATCTTGCATGTAGAAAATGTACAGCTGAGGTTTTGTGGAACTTGGAAAACACAGGAGGTGGTGTCTAGAGCATGGTAACCAAATACTTCTGTCAGATATACATGATCTAGGTCTTCAAGAATCCGGGGCTCAAGACTGCCTCTCACCCCCAAAATACTGCTTCTTCCCCTTTCTACTTTCAGAAGCTGATTATATAGGCTCACAACTTGCCTTATAACAAAAGTTTGTGAAAAGTGGCACTAATGAATCTGTTCTTCATAACTATTTGATCATATGTTGCTTTATGCCTACTTTTTGTTTAAATGAGGGTTATGTTAAATAAAGTAACCTTGCAAAGGAAAACCAGCATAGATTGGCTGTTCTAGGGCCTTGTGTTATGTACGCAGTGTTCGGCACAACTTCACTTCTTTTGATACTTGGTGCTGGTACAAGCAGCTAGTCATGAAATAATTTTCCCTTGCATTAGTTTGGTGTTGGTGTGACCACTAAGGTCTGTGAAGCACAGATCACTCCTGTGAGTTTCCCTGTCCCCTATAACTCGCAAGAATTCAATTGAATGTATTAGAGTCACCGACTTAAAAATTTAGGAAACGTCATAATTTGCAGTGCAATCCATTTCCCCCATGAATATTGCTAATAAGCAATCAGTACTGTGAAAACTGAATTTAACATTTTTTTCCCACGTTATTGCTGCCTCCTAAGTACAAGAGAGTCTAGATGTTTCTTCAGAGCCCTGGTTAAATGAACTTTTTGTTCTTGCACCAAACCCATCTGAAAACTACCAGCTCTAGTCTGTGTTATTTTGCCATCTCTATGAAGGTGGTTTTTTTGAGGTAGGGTAATAAAAATGGGGCAGGAAGCTTTCCCTGAAGTAAATCCTAATGCATTATTTCTGACTCTGGAACTTGGAGTTCTTGCTTTTCCCATCTGCTGGTTTTCACAAGCACTGGTATTTTTGGCTGGTGTTACAGGGTTTGTGTAATTTCTGTTAAGTATGTTGAAATAACCTTCCAAATAGTGATTCTGCAGCCTTCAAAAGTTATCTTCTTGTTCGTATTCCCGGTCCTCTCCTAAAGTAAGTAGCACGTAGCAGGGCTGGGATTTCTAAGAATTCACTGTAAATTTTCCTTTGAGTGATAAATGCATTAGTTTAACTTACTAATGCCATTTGCTGCCTTGAAATATTATTTCTCAGGATAATGTATTGTCCTGAATAATTATTGACAAATTACTTTATTTTTGTTCTTTCAAAATTGCTTTTTTAATTTATATTAAAATAATATGGCTGTAAATGTTGTCTCTACATAGAGGACTGGAAAAAATTTGTTCACAGTAGTATTTTAAAGATTGCTGGAAACAGCCATCTTCGCTATTCTTGTCTTATATAAAATGTTTTCTGTGTTGTTGCAGAGAATCATGTACCACTTTCTAAGCTTTAGTGATGACACAGTGGAAAACAAAGGAAGGCTAAATGCAGCCATGTTAAAGACTTCAGTGTTCTGGCAGAAATGATATGCCTGATAACAAAAGATCCAATCTGAGTGTCTTGTTGGGTTTACCCTCTTGAGGTTACTTTTTTACCCGTCTGCAAAAGTGATCTGTGAAGGGTGCTGCAGCTGAGGAAAGGGCATGTGAAAATAGTGTGCCTACTCGGTTTCAGTGATTTTTTTCGTTGCTTTTTAGGCCATTTCTACACAACCTGAGATACATTCCTTCCCCCACTCCCCTTTTTTAACAGCTGTTTGGCAAGGGAGGTGTGAATAAAAGCACACTAGTTGGAACAAATTCTTAAAAATGCATGGGAAGTTGCTAGGTACGATGGAGATTCTGTGTAGCATGCTGCTGTCGTTTTTGGTTTTTTTTTTTTTTTTTTTTAGTTATCTGTTACCCTGGAAAGATTCCCTTCCTCCCCCTAAGCTGACGGACATCCATTGCAAGGACAATGTAGTCTTTCGTCTTACTTCCCCATCTTGAAATATATATAGCCACCAAATTAAAGTGCTGTGTGAAGTTTCTTTTGATGTTTTGTTTGTTCACTTGTTCCAAAACCTGTTTGGAATAGTAGGTCACTGATACATCTTTAAATGGTACATCAAAGAGCTGCTCTTCTTGATTGAGACACCACTTTGTTTTCAAGCACAGCTGAGTAGCATTCAGATGTGTTTCAAAAAAAAGCAACAACTCATTTTTCAAAAAACTGCATTCACCAGCAGTTTTCCCACTTATGAGGCATGAAAATGTGGGTGGCAAAGATAGCTAGGTGTTGTCTTTTGTGATCTGGTGATATTAAATAAATGCACTTGTGGCTAGTAAGCTAACGCCTTCCTTGCCAAGACTTTAAAATGGTAGAAAAGCGACCTCTCTAAGGTTCTGTCACTGGGGAGTTTGGTTCTACACCTATTTATTCTCTTATCATAGAATAGTTTGGGTTTGAAGGGACCTTAAAGATCATCTAGTCCAACCCCCCTGACCTCTATTAGTACTTAGTATTATTTTTTGTAAGCCTTTAATTGGGAAAGGGAATATCTTGAAAGAAGAAAAGTATTTCCTTGAAAATGACTAATATGATGACTCTCTCTCTTCTAGGAAATGACTTGCAGCTGAGTGAATCTGGAAGCGATAGTGATGACTGAACAAATTTTTGGCCTTAAATGTATCACCTTTTTTGCTAAATATGTCTTAGCATCTGTTTTGCACTAAGATTAGATTACCAGAGACTGGAATGAATGTCCTCGATTTTGATAATAGACATCCTAATTTTCTACTGACACATCATGTCTATAATACAGCAGCATTGATATCCCGTCAGTGCTATGGTTATGTGTTTATCTTTCAAATTACTGTATTTACAGTAAAATTGTGTATGATCTGATTTTGATTATTTTTGCCTCAGCCACCTGTTTTACTTGAAACTGATTTGTAACAGCTAGTTACTTTATATAAATAGTTATGGAATGGAGAAATTTCTGATATTTATGGAGGCAAGTTTCCTTCCTATCATTTAAATGCTGAATGCTGATCTCGCAACTTCTACTTGGAGGGAGTGACAGTGAGAACAACTAAATGAGGTCTGCCATGTCAGCTATACTTTTTGTTCAGTTCACAGTTCATACCTTTAAGGAAACTGCTGATTAATGTGGTCCACTAGTGCAGTTACAGTTTACAATTGTTCAACACATTGCTGAATTCTTAATTTCATTGTATTATAGGACTTTATATTTCTGAGCCTCAAGATTCCTAATGGAACTTGTCTATTCTCTGCCTTTTTTTATGTAACTTGAATAGGCTGGTCTTTTTACAACCTTTTTGTATCTAAATTTAGGTAACTGCAGAGACAGCAATGAATTTCCTTCATTTAATTCTGTAACAGAAATCAGAAAATTTCTTTGTAGGAGTATAAAAGTAATTTAATAAAGCAATATTTATCATTTTCTTGCGTCTGATTCTGTTTTTACGGGTTAAGAATTCCACTTTCTACCTGCAGTAGTCATGCAGGTAGAAGGGTCATGCAAAGAAGTAGAAAGCAGTGAAATGGTAGCTAATACAGACTCTCCACCCCGTCTGCAAGTGTTTATTGCTTTTGCCTACAGTGAGACAAGCACTAAAAAGAGCTCGCCAAAAGCTTGTGGCGGTGCCAGTGTATGGATGATTGTTTATTACAAATTATATCCAGATGCCATGGGTAAGTGACACTGTGTTAGAAAAGAAAAGGTTTTTTGCCTAGTCTTATTTTTTCCTCATTTGAAATTACATTTCAAGACCTGACAAACTGCAGGTAGGAGTCCAAATTTCATCCTGTATTGTATTCCTGAAGAGTCTTGTAACTAATACTGGGAAATGTCTGTAGGATGAATTCTGATGAGAAAAATCTGCTCAGTCTTGCAAAGAAGTCTCCTTTGCTAGATTGCAGTGATTGAATTGCAGCTGTCTAAACTGTGAGGATTGAATTCTATACATAAGCCTGAATGTGCAGGCATGAAAAAATGCACACAGTAAATGTATACAATAGGTGGTACTAGACTAGCTTATGCTCCCAAATATGCTGTCAGTATCAGCCTGTGCTTACCTCTGGACAGATTACAAGGCCAAAACCATGTCCACCCCTCACAAAGGAACCTTTCTTGGTAGCACCAGGCAGAAATGAAATATTGGAAATTCTGCTTTCTGATGCTTCCCCACCTCGCGCTCTGTACCCCAAACTATGGCACTGGTCCATGCTCTGCACTAGGTAACAGCTTTCTAGTCTTCCAGCTTCCTAAAGTTGGGACCAGAAGCAGCAAAACATTTTCCAGTTTATACTCAAAGGAAAAATCTCAAGTTAATAACCGTGGTTGAACGGGTCTCTGAGAAGAAAAGGGCTAATGAGCCACCTTGAGGAAGGATGCTATGTAATAACCACCATGAGATACCTGGAACTTTCTCAAGGGGAAGGGTATTGAGCTCTCTGACGGATCATGGCTGTTGGTATGGGAACTCTAGCAGAGTACTTGGTTCTTGGCATCTGCTGCTAATAGAGTCTGCTAGGGCGATGAGAGGAGCTGAGATGTTGCAGGTAATTTTAGGACTAAGGACCAAGCACCCTGTGCTAAAGAGAAGGGGTGCATGACAAAGCAGGGTCTTGAGCTGAAAATTCCCTTTTTGCCTGCCCCCAGTCGTTTATTTGCACCAAAGCCTTCCTTTAGGCCAACTCTAAATTCTAATTCTAGCTAGAACGCTGCTGAGTAACAGTGAATTTGGGGTGTATGGGAGTGAGCAGATGTGTGGAAGCACGGACCAGGCCAGGGTCTAAATCATGGAGAGTGTGTGTACTTGTGGATTATAATCACTCTTTCAGCGATAAAACGGGTGAGTACATCCTACTTGTGTCTGTATGTAACTGTACTCGCATGTATACAGGTGCTTAAATGCAGCTCTGGGCGTAAAGCAGATTTCCAGGTTCCTGAGTCTCAGTACTGTGCTACTTTAGGATTTGATCTTTGGGTTGAAAGCTTTCTAGGATTGGAAGTCTTGGTTAAGATTTTGTATAGCACATAGCACAAGGTGCTTAGTGGCCAGTCAGGCACTACCTAGTATAAATCAGTTTGTGACCTAGGTGGATATATTCTGTCAAATGCACAGTTGTGATAATTCAGGAAAGGTTCCCTTCAAATATCAAGACAGGAGATAAGATTCTGAAATGAAGTTCCCACAGAGATAAGGGGAAAAAAGGTAACACCTTAAATGCATGAAGAAAAAAGCTGGTTCCAGCCCAAATGTCTGTGACCTGATTCCCCTTCTCCATGTAAATGTCAAACATAGTAAGCGAGCGAAAGAGCTTGTTTGGGCCTCTCGTCATACAGAGGGGTTTGGCTGGGGTCTCATTTCTGACTTGCTGGGGGTGTTTGCTCCCCTAAGGCTTGGTTTGTGTGCCCCGAGCAGTGCTGAGCCCCCGTATCTCCTACTGCAGGGTGTTCTCAAATGGCAGGAGTGAGAAGGTGGTTGGCTGCATTGAGATTTAGAAGCTTAAGGGAGGTATTCTAGCAATAGGAAAACAGGTCAGGTTGTCTTTTTGGTCTTGGAAATTTTTTTTTGGGCCCCGATTTGAAAATTCTTTCCCTCTCCTTTAAAAATAACTTTATTCCTGCCACGTCAACTTGACTAGCAATGAATAAAATCAGCAACTGCTATAGGTTCCTATGACCACTGTTCCTACAACCTCCGAGTGCCTCTTTCAAAATAATCTCCTGAAATATAGCTGGTTCTATCTTGTTACTTGCAGCTATGTTGTCTTTACAGCCAGAGATTTAAAGCATATGTGTGTGTATGTATCTCTAAGCAGTAAATACTTTTGAAGAATATTGTATTGTGACATTATAATCAAGCTACTGGATTTGAGGAATATCTGCATATCACTTAACATTGATAAATCAAAAATATCTTCCAAATGCAGCTGGAAACTGCAAAATTTTTTAGTCTTCTGACTACTGTGGTGCTAAGAACCACTGCAGCCACAGCTCACCTGAGCCCTTCTCTCTGCGTGGCAGCTGGTACGTGCACAATTTGGCTGGTAACTACCTCTTTGGGGCTGTAGTATTCAACCCCCCCTTGAGTCCTGAACTAGCGATTATGTACGCTTACCAACTGTAACACCTTGCCTGGCAGCTTCCCATTTTTGTAAGATCTCTGTCCTACTCTTGCTTTTCATGAACCCCACCTCGGGGCAGGTGGACAGGCAGAGGCAATCTCTTCAGGGCAGCCCTGGCACCACTGTATTCCACGACTAACACTGGAATTGCCATTTACTTGGGGTTTTCTGTCTATCTGTAATTCCCTCTTGAGATCCCTGCCCCTAATGCTGCAATGGGCCTTTAGGAAGTTCTAATTTATAAGCATCAAACTCAATATAATGTCCATGCATTTTGTAATTGTTTGGTAAGCAATAACCTTATTTCCTGCATAATCTCTAAAAATTATTTTGATGCCCAGGCATGGATTACTGAAAACAGCTGCTCTTCAAAATCATGGTATCAGCATCAGCTGGAGCACAGCCCACTGTGGAGTTTATTGCTAAGGCACCTGATATGATCAGCTTTATTGCATGAGCTTTGCTTTTTGTTTTGGAGGAAGGCAGGAGATAACCATTTTTCAGATTAAAGGACTTTAGAAAGTCACTTCTGCGCTAACAGACAGTGAATCATCTTGAGAACAGAGCAACAGTATTTCTAAGAAGAATTATTTGTTGGGTCTTTCTTGCCTGATTTCTGGGGAACCAAACATGAACAGATATCAGATAAAAGTTTGCTTTGGTTCTCAAGATTTTGGCCCACAAAAATTGTATCATTTCAGGCCAACACTTTTTCTTTTCTTTAGAATTTCTACAGGAAGGTTTCTGAGAATAGCCAAGCAGACTGTTGAGTCCTTCTTATTAAGCCAAAGAGATGAGGCTGCCTAGGCTGGACGGAAATGAAGAGAAGATGACTTGGTTCGTGATGGTTCCTAGACTGAATACTTACAGTACACGTGAATTCCTCCTCTCACCACCCTTTGAGGTCGTTCAGCTAACCACATAAGGTGCTGAGGACAGTCTAAGTAGATAGGGAGTTCAGACGAGCTTTCTGAGGAAATGCAAAAAGAAGAATGAGGAAAAGAGAAGTTTTGAATAAGGGTGTTTGCATTGTGTTAAAATATATGTTTCTGCTGCTTTGTGGGAGGTAGGAGAAATGTGAAAAGTAGGTGAAGATGTACTGCAATGAGGATGAAAAAAGTGTGAAATGATAATTTCTTTCAGAGTTTAGACCTAAAACTTGATAGGGGTAGTCATCTACATCCAGAGGGAGGACTGAAAGACCTATGTGACCTATGAAAGACCTATTCCAGTTCAAGGAAACTGGTAACAGCTTCTCCTGGTTGTTAATTGGTTAGCAGTTCTGTCCCAAGTGACCTTGGTCCCCCTGCATAAGAATAATTCATGATGGCTTGGGTATTTGCAGGCAGCAGCACCTTGCTTACCAACTATACACACAGGAATGGGCTGAATTAGTGGAAAGCTCTAAAGACTCTGTTAAGTGTGGCTTTTATTTCATGGCTTGCAGATTCTGGAGTTGGAGAAAAGCTCCTGAAGGGCAGACTCAGAGCTCAGGGCTTGTGTCATCAGGAAGAACAATTTAGCTCCTAAGCAGAGATACCAACTTCATACAGGGTTTGCTGTAGTGAAGGGTCTGGCCTGCTGGGAACAGCGAGGGCTTGGGCTGGAGTTGTTTCTGTGGTTTTCTGAATCCATAGAAGAAATAGAGTGAGTTCTCAGATTTTCCCTCTCTGAAAAGCAAACCCTTCTGCTGTGGTGAGGAAGGAATGGAGGTTAGAGGCAAAGATGAAGGAGCCTTTCATTCAACAGAGAAGGCTTTGTTGACGTACAACACATCCCTGGTGAGTTAGCCAGTGAGACCTCTCCTGACTTGCTTTGAACAGGGGCCCTTGTTACAGAACCTGTTCTCCATCTCTCATCTCCCATATGCCCATATGTCTTTTTTGTGCAGCACCCAAAAATTCATACCTGGCTTGTTCTCATAAGCGTGCTTACGCATGACAGAGGATTATTTGCTCCCTCTAAGAGATGAGGCCTTCTTCATGCTGTTATTTAGAGTTTAAAGAAAAGTGGAGTGTCTTAAAAAGGTAATTAAAGAAGACCCAACAACAACCCAAACTGTTCTTTAATCTCTTTAGTTTCACTTCCACATGCAGTGTATCTTGTTCTACCAGTTTCAATGCTCTTGCAAAACAGTTGCACAACGACTTCCTCTTAGCAACCAGCAGAATTAAACTTGAGCTCACCTAATTGGCTGTACCTTTTCTAAGACCCTCAATGTATTGAGTTTCCAGTAAACTCTGCAACCCCCCCTTTTTCCTGCACCTTTTCATTGCCACAACTTTTGGAA